TATCCACATTTATTATTTACATTTTACTCAGATTATAAACACAATTTCATTTATTTAATTAAAATAAGGAAGTGTCGTAATTACTTGAATTCTTTTGTTTTGCCCGATTTTAAATCAGAAAAAAAAATTTCTGAACTCGCACGGGGAGACTGTCTTCCCCCCTTTTTTTAAATCTTCCAGGGTTTTGATCATTCCTTGTACACTTCTCTTCAACCCTCGTTCTCAAGACTCTCTCCCCTTTCTCGACCACAAAAGAAAATCCTATCTCACTACTCAAAAATCTCAGGTTCTGAAACTAAGAAGAAGAAATTCCTCTTCTAAGGGGAGCAGCAACAATTACAACAAAGTGCTAGCGATTTGCTGAGGGAGAAAGTAGCTCATGTAGACACGAGGGGCAGTGCTCAGCTTTCTTCGCTATAGTTCCGATTCGCCTACAGTGGGGGATCCTTAAGTACTGTCCTACTTGACGGCGGAAGAGGGGTAATGGTTAAGGATGGAAGCAATATGAGTAGAGAGTCATTTAGTTAAGGTAGGTAGCCCTTTTTACAGATGTAATAGCTATTTGGGAAAGGCAGGGAACTCAAATACGACGCAAGGCAAAACCCTAGCTTTAAACTCATAAAAATCTCATATTTCTTGCATCTTCTGTTTGATCCTTGTCAATTATGTATATTTTTTTATTTCTACCTTGAATTTAGTCTATGCACTTCTGGAAATCTGAGATATGGAGAGAGATTTCATAGGGTTGAGTTCTAACGATTCAACAATTGTCGTTGAGAAAGAAATTGCTAAAGACGGCAACGATTGTCGTATTCCAGGACTTCAACGACTTTGCCACGTGCTTGTAAGGTGAGCTTTTGAATTTATTATATATAAACCCTTTTGAATTTCGATTCGCTATATACGTATTATCGCAAATATGGAATTAATTTGTGCAAATTATTTATGTAATTCATCTTCATCATTTTTAAGCCCTTCGATTATTCAACCCAAAACCCACAGCCTCTCCAAATTGAATTTCAGAGCAAGAAATAACAATAGGAGCGTAACTAGAATTCGAGCCCAGAATGGAAATTCGTTTGTACAGAATTGAAGTGATTAGCGTCCCATTTTTAAAGCCGCATAAAAGTATACATTCAGTGAGAGAAAAGAAGACAAATAATGCCTAGATTCGAAAATCATGTCCCAAGATTTCGCCCATAATATCGTTTCCAGTGTTTTCGTTGCAGTGCCATCCTTGTGTGGGCCATTAATTTAGTAACATTTTAGCTTGATATTATAATGTAACCACAAATTTTAACCTTTAGTAGTTCATGTTTTGCTATGACATCTATGATCCCAAGAATCGACCTCGTGTTTAAAATCCATTATTGCTTTTTTTTGGAGTATAAATATCGCATAGCATATTTATTTGATCTATCAAATGGCGTATAAAATGATTTCGAACCATTAGTCATTCATGGAATTTACTACTCTTAAAGGCATATATGGTATCATCCTAACAATTCACATTTTTTTATTTGGAAACTTTGATCAATTCTTGTCTCCTGAGTTGAAATTCAACCAGTATGTAAGCTTTTATGATGTCATTTAGCTGTACTTGAAGACAGTAACTTGGTTCTGGTACTTGATCTGGTTATGATTTGTGGTGTAAAACTTTGACTATGAGGATTCTCTAGCTCTTTCTTCATGAAATCTATGTATGCGTTTTTGTTTTATGTGTTGAATATTGGTCATTATTGAAATGACTTTTGCTGCACAGGAAGATGGAAGATGCAAGAAGCCCATGCAGTCAACAGACCCAACTTTTGTTGGTAAGCTACTATTACTTTTCAATCTTTTATCTATGCACACGTGAACATTCAATTTGAGGCTTTTTAGAAGTTATCTACAACTTCATTTTCTATGATGTTTAAAATGCTCAGCAGGCTTGAAAATATTTCACATTTACAGATCTGTCATTAAGGCTTAAATGGTTGTTGGGCTTGTAGAATGCAATGTAAAGTTCACAAATAAAATTGTCTGAATAGGGGATGGATACTTTCATGCTTTAAGCCATTCAGCCCATCGATCCTTCTTTTCCAAAGGCTTATTGTATTTTGTAGGTGTTTCTGATGTCTCAAGGCCTGGGGCTTTATCGTCTGTACCTGCATCGCAGTCCCTATTTGCTTCATGTTTTTCCAGCAAGTTGGATGACAAAGTATGGAAACATCCTTGAGCAATTGACTTAAAAGCATGACTGATTTAATGTATTAATGCTTTCTATCAATTCATGATCAAACAGACAGGTTACCGGCGAGCAATGCCTTTGAAAAAGAAATATCACTTTTACTCACTTCGTATTCTATGTTAGTTATTGTTTTCATTATTTTTGGGAAAACGTTTATGGGAAATATTTGGAGTGCTTGTAGCTCTCTTGTGCAAATCTTAAGTTGCAAAATGCAATTAACATTCAGATCTATGTTTTTAGAACTTTTAATTATCATTCATGGTCGAGTCGTTTATTGCAGCTAATTTCCTTACCATCTTGACAGGTGACAGCATCAAGGTTGTTGCTATCAAAACAAACCATTCCCCACTATTGCCTAACTGTAGATACGCGTAGACAACCTTCTGGAGTAAGTGTTGACATCCTACACTAATATTTTGCCGCAATGAATTTCATTTTGTTTCTTACATTCCACTTGTTTTGCAGATTGCGCAGCCAGCTAAATGCATTTCAGGAAGGTTCAAGTGGGAAGAGGATATCCATTAATGATCTTGTAATTAAGGTATTATGAACTTTAATACAATCTCAATTTCATTTCTTTATTAATATTATTCAAAAAGGAGAGAGAGGGGTGTGAAGGGAGTAAATTGACTGATTGTCTCAAACAATTAACTAAGCAGCTATTTGACTGCAGGCTGCTGCTTTGGCTCTTCGAAAGGTTCCTTAGTGTAATAGTTCATAGACCAATGACTACATTCGCCAGTAAGTGTACTCAATAATGCAAGTCATAGCAAACCAATGTGGGCCATTTATTGTAATACTTTACCTTGTTCGATACAGGTATCACAATGTGAATATCAATGTTGCTGTACAGACAGATAATGGGCTGTATGTGCCTATAATTAGGGTACTAGATTTTGATCAACCTACGTTTAATATAGGTTCGTGATATAGGTCTTTGTTTTGGTGTATTGTGGTTTGGTCATTGGCACTTATGATTGTTCATAGTATTAAAAATATTATTTTGTTATTAAAGCAATGATGGTGTTCAATGTGTTGGATTAGATTATGATCAAATAATAAAAAGGATAAATTCACAAAAAAGTTATGGCACTCAAAAAAGTTATGAAACTTTGATTCGAAACACTGAGATGCTACTCCCTAAGACAATCAAAGAAAAGATAAAGACTATATGTGGTTAAATGACTAGCCTAAATTATACAATTTACGTTCTTAAAAAAATTCAATATCTATTGTAGTCATACGCTTTTTCCATTTCAGCTTCCAACCAATGCCTATTATAGAAAATGAGCTATTTTGCTGGTTCGGTAACACCTTCATTGGCTTCCAAATTTCAGTAACTCTGCTCTTTCTCATATTGGAATTTGAGGGAAATATGTTTTTTCATTGAACAGAATCACAAGGATGTTTTGGTTGTAGTTGATTCAGAATACTATGCAGCACTCTTGGAATTTTTGGGAGGAACACATAATGACCAACAATTTAGAAAGAGGCCAGCTTGGAAAGCTTTTCAGCATGTTGCTTCTTATAATTTTGCAGTTTCATAATGGTTTTGGAAGCAGACTGGGGAAGGTAGTTGTATAGGTTTAATAATTTTTTTCAAACCCAGAACAAATCAACATTTGCCAATGGCCAGTGCCAATGACAAGTGTTCAGTACCAAATTGAAATTGGACATTAATTTGATTTCTTTAGATTTTTTTGCAGGTCACTTTTACAGGCCTTGTTGATTGCATTAGAAAGAGGTTTTATCTTTGAAATATTGGAATCGAGTGCTTTCCTAAATAGTTTGGTTAGTTGTTCTCTGCTTTTTCCCTTTTTCAATTTTTTTTAATAAGTTGTAGCTCCACTATAGTCATACCCTAAAACATACCGTACAATTTCTCAAAATATAAAAAATAGTAAAATGAAAAGCAAGCATTTATTATTTTTTTGCACAAGATTAATAGTTCCTTGAGATATGATGAACTCTGACAGACATATCCTCTTTGCAGGGGGGCATATTCACAGTGTCAAATTTGGGAGGGCCTTTGGAATCAAGCAATTCTGTTCCATTATTAATCCTCCCCAATCGAGCATTCTTACAGTTGGCTCTGGTAAGATACGCTTTTTGTTTCTTGATGATGCATTTATTTATTTTTATGGATATCATCCTTCTCACTACTTAGAACCTCTACGAGCAGCTGAGAAAAGGGTTATACCTGGTGTTCATAACAATATATATTTTCAGGAAAAATGCTGATGCAAATAAGAAACCTGCCATTCCCATTTATCGACATGTCACTAGGTTGGCTATTGATCCTCCTTTAATTCGTGTTTTTTTACTGTAATTTTTTTGTCCAGGGAAAAACGAAAATAAAAATGATACATTTAATATAATTGTGAAAGAAAATAGTTTATTATGATCTGCATAACATAGAAGCGTTGAATTTGAGAAGAAGATTTTTTACCGTTGTTTTGTTTATCTTTGGTAATATGAAAAGATATATGTGTTAAGAAATGTAAGTTTATTTGGTAAACAAAAAAGGCAAGAGATGTATTTACTTGTAAAAAAATAATTCATTATGATAGTGGTGCAGCTAAAGTTAGATCAATCACGCATTGGCAATACCATACCATTTGCACAGGAGAAAGTTCGATATTGCAAAACCTTTGCTCAGAGTTCAGGTCAATAGAACATGATTTTAGAACTTTGTACGGTCTAAGAACTTGTGGTAAGACATTTTAATATTATTTTAATGTAATTTAATGTTGTTTTATCCTTTCATCAATAATGGAATCTTCAATTTTTAGTTCATTTTTAAGTTCTTTCAAAATGTAGGAATTTCAAAACATTGTCTTTGATGACTTCTAAAGCTATGGATGAGGGGAAATAATACTTTCTCTAAAGCTATGGATGCTGTTAATTCAGATGTGAGCATGGCAACAACTTCTGCATCTGGTTTATCACGGGAAGGATATGTTTTGAAGCTACCTAAAACAAGAAGAGGCCTATTCATATTATTAGCTTCAGAGATAAAGAAAAAAAAGACGGAAAAAAATATACTGCCATATTTAGAAATCTAACAATTGGAAATGTTTTACCAATGTAAATTCACACACAGTGCATTCCTCAGATAACCGAATATTCTGTCCATATCTCGACTCATTTCAAACGCTAACAATACCAGCAACGTAACCAAACCCGTACATCGTACGGCGAAAAACTAGTATTGAGAAAAGAAGAGAAGAAGAATAAGACCATTATTAGTTTGGACCTTTTTTTTTTGTTTGGGCCCTTTTATTTGGGCAGAGAGAGTTGGGTCTTTTTTTTAAAGTTAGGCCCGATATAAATGAAATAATATCTATTAGTTTTATATTTTCTTCTTATTTATTTTGGTTTTGGATAATTTTAGATTGTTTCTTCATCACTGATTTGATTTTGATTTTTATTGTTTTTACAATAATTCATATTCTGACTTGATTATTGATATTTCTCACTCACTCTTCTTTTTTATTTACTTTTGGATTTTTTGGTAGTCTATAGTTTTGTTCAATTTGATATATGAATAGATGATTTATTGCTTCGTCTTTACTTTTGCGTGATTTTATGACTTTTCAATTTTGGAGGATTAGGGAACAGACATCAATTGTGCAGAAGAGATTCGGATTTCCATATGGAGTTTTACGCCGAGAAGGTTAACAACAAGGGGCTTTGCGCTATCGCCCAAGCTGAGTCCCTCCAATACAAGCTCCTCGGTGGCCTCGTCGTAAGGAGGTAAATAATTCTCTTGGCGTTTGATGGATTATCCTTTTTTTTTTCTTTTTTGCGATTATAAGTTTGAATTTTACTTGATGCCTGTGCCTTTACCATGTTTTGACAAAGGCTAGATTATGGATTCCTCCTTTCTGTTTGTTTTATGGATTTTACGATTTGATAGTTCAATTTGTTTCTAACAGCTCGTTGCTGAATATATGACTCTCCTGGTTGTTATTTTGTCATCAACAAAGCACTATGTTCATCTAGTAATCTCGAAGAGGAAACTGTTTTAACAACCTATTCTGAGTAACTGTTGTGCATTTTTTTGTTAGTTTGCTTTCAAATCTAATATACTTATAATCTTGACATATGTATTAATTTTTCTACCCTAACTTCAAATTTACATTTTGGTAATCTTGACATATGTAAATTAAATTTGTAATCTTGTGCTTGATTAATAATTCTTGTTCCACTCGATTCATTCATATTTGCTGATATGGTAGTTATGCATTTCTTTGTAAGTCTTCCTTAGGGCATGCTATGGTGTGTTGAGATTTGTTATGGACAGTAATGCTAAAGGTTGAGGTATTTTCTTCATCTTGATTCTAGAGGCTGCCACTTTATTTCACTTCCAATTTTAACGGTGCTATGGTATGTGGTATTGATGAGTGGAACACAGGACTGGATAGGACAACCCCTCACCCAAACACACATTATTGCGTGCACTTTTATTGGCAGCGGTTGAAGGTGTTTACAGTCAACGATCAACATTCGATCCGCCTGTGCTGAACTTTTGTGATGAGTCCATCGCTGATCATGAATATGAATAAAATAAATAAATGGATACCAAACAGAGGCTAAGATGATTAATCAAAATGATAATTGAATGTCACCTATATTTGTACTTTGCACCATTGACACTAAGCCCCTGTTTGATAATGATACTTTTCAAAATTCGAGTTTCGAAAATAGTGATTTTCAGGATAATGTATGGTTAAAATTTTTTTTAAAAAAAAATTGAATTTATATGTAAAATATTTTATTGTGTGAATATGTGATTGAAAATGAAAACGTAGGAAAAATAATTTGAAAAGTGTGGTTGTCAAACATGGGTTAAATGAATTTATACGTTTTTTTTTTCCTTTAGTACCATTACCATCCATTCCAATTTATCAAAAATGTCAATACGTGTAATTTAAATTTACGGAATACAAGACCAAACGCACTGCATTCCATGAAGGACTCACCACCTTTCCCAAAGGACAATAGTATTTACACAGGCTGTAAATTATTCTTCGGAAGGAAGCCCAACAGTTTCTTTGAACATCTTTAACATTCTTTCGTAAACAAAGAGAGAAAAAATCTAGTATATTACTATAAAAATCTAGTTACGAAGGATTGTACTTGTTCTAAATGGAACAAAATCTTGGAGTAAAAAAACATTTTTTCAAGGTCATGTCACAAAATTTTCATACAAAATTGGTATGTTTTTCTCCTTCGATATCAAATCTTTACGTAGAGGAGTTTGTAGTAGATTCTTACTGACTGAAGAATAATTACATGAAAATTTATTTAGGGTTAATGTACACTATTTTCCATTTGATCTGTGGACAGGTCTTGCCAAAAGCTTTTTGTAGAAATCTAAATCATGTAGAGAAACTGGCCATTATAACGAGTGGCAAGGGAATCTGGGAGATCAATCTCTGTAAAAGTAATAGAGATACCGTGTTTTTCGATAAGGGATGGAGGGATTTTGTACAACAACACGACCTCACTGTTGGAGATATCGTCGTGTTTGAACACATGGGGGAAATGCGTTTCAATGCTTTCGTCTTTGATTTTACTGCCTGTGAGAAAGAATTCGACCATAATTTGGAAGCCGTTAAGAGTAAGTTTTCAGCTAGTGTATCATTCTTTTGTTTTTCAATTTTATGCATGAGTTTAATATAAGTTCGTAGAAAAAAAATGGCTCCTCAAGCAGATTTGTACGAAAAACTGCAGTAAATGCAGGTGCTTCATGCCAGCAGAGGGATGATCCATATTTTGTCATAACAATAAAACAACACAATTCTCCTGGTTCTAGAGCGCAGTATGCGGTGAGTTTTGCCTTACATGGACACCATATACTGAAATCTCCATGATCTGTCATCAGTTTTGTATAAAAAAAATTGATAATTGTGCTTAAATTAAGTGCGCCTAAGCTTAAAGAATTTACTTGTAAGTAAATTTTCGAGTTCTAAAATAAATATTACATGCTCCATGTGATGTATTAATTTATGTAAAAACAGGTTTATCTACTGAATTGGGCAGTTACTTTTTAATTTCTTGAATTTCAGCGTATCCCGGCAAAATTTTGGAAATCAAATGGCCTGAATGAGAAGACTAGTGTCAATCTAAGAGATCCTTCAGGCAAGAAATGGCCAGTGGAACTAAAATTTCACAAAAATGGTAGTCGTTATCATCGTTTTATTATGCGTAGGGGCTGGAAGCAATTTTAGGAGTCCAACAAGCTCAAAAATGGAGATGTTTGCACTTTTGAACTCAATCACAATCCAAAAGGGTCCACTGTTGCTTCAATGGATGTGCACATTACCCCCAATTAAAGTCATCTAATTCTCCCACAAATTAGTTCAGAAGTTCAGTTTGGTTTTGTAATACAAACTATTGATACTGTTTTTGTCAAGATCAAACATTGTTCATGATTCAAGTTTTAGTGCTTATTATGGGATTTTTTTGATGTCATCTCATGTTTTATGCTTTAATTGTGTGAATTATTGTGTTAAGGTTAGCAATGTTGTAAAACTTTGAAATAATTGTTGATGTCTATTTGATATTATCAGAATATCTAAAGATAAGCCTTTATCTACTCTGGAATATATTTTACTCTTATTATTCTCACTTTGAGCTGTAGAACTACAAGACCTTGATTTTCAATAAAATTCACACTATAATTTTGACTCTATTTCTTCTCATATTTCTATATTTGTTCTTTTATGCGGTAGGGTTTGAATTCCGTGGAAAGTGGAAAAGTTATTCCATTTCCACATTTTGGTAGTGTTTGATGGTTCTGATTTGCCCTGGAATTTGCCATTATTATTTTCCCCTCATGCGCCCATTTCTAGGCGTGACTTTCTATGCTTTTTAAAATTTTTTTTTTTTTTAGTAATGGAAACAATTTTCATAGACAAATGTAAAAAAAAAAATTTACTTGACAATTTTGATGCAAACGAAAGCCAAACGAACATTAAATTTTGATGAAAAAGATGATTTTTTAAGAAACATTTTTTTTTTTAAACTTTTTGGCAATGGAAATAATTTTTATAACTAAGTGTGGAAAAAATTATCATTTTAATGGATAATTTTGATGAAAACGAAGGCTAAACAAATACAAAATTTAAAAATTTTTCGGGTGGAAAATTATACCAATCAAACACACTTAATTAACAATTCACTAGAAAACAATTTTTAGGCAATTACTTTCCCTAAAATTCATTTTCTTTCTACCCATTTTCCACCATTGCAATCAAACGGACCCTTAGTTTTATATCAATTAAAAGTTTTAATTATTTTTTGTTTTTGTTAACGCCCATGGTTTTACTCATTTTTACAACAAAATCTACACGTTGTCACCTAATGATAAGTCTTATCTATTGTGGATGAGTTTTACTCTTATTATAATTCTCATTTTGAGTCGTATAAATACGAGATCTTGATTTTCAATAAAATACACATTTGAATTTTGACAATAATCTATTTTTTCTCTTATATTTCTATCTTGGTTTCTTTAGTTTTATTAGTTAGAGTTGAACATGCATTGTACGTTATTTTAAAATGTTTATAAGTATTATAAAAGTAATATTTAAAAATGAATATTAATTACATAAATGAGAATGTGAATGCTAATGCTAATTAATTAAGAATTAATAACATGAAACACATGCATAAGCAATGATTTTGTAATATTTATTACAGTTTGTCATCAAATTTCATGTGGAAAAAGCACACAAGTGAAATTAATCCCTCAAATGTGCATTGATGATAACTAAATAGTTGATAGAATGATTTATGAAATATTATTCATATGATTAAAGCAAATACAATAGATGAATTAATGTGAGTGTTAATTAATTTAGAATTAATACCAGAAAATATCATTTATACGAAATGAACATAATTTAACTTCCAATTTAGTGAAACTGGATGTTAATTAACATACATGGATGTGAATAATTCTTGAATGTGAAATTCTAATTAATTTATAATTAATTAGAATTAATAACACTAAAATTATAACTAAAGATGAATATTAATTAAATGAATGTGAATGTTAATTAACTAAGAATTAATAACGAAAGATTCATACATGAACATGAATTTTGTAATATTTATTACATTTTGTAATTGAATTTCATATGGTGAAAGCACACAAGTGAAATAAATGTCAAATATGAATTGATAGTAACTAAATAATTGGCAAAATAATTCATGATATTATTATTTAAATGATTAAATAAATAAAATACATATTAAAAACGAAAAGTAATGTATTATTAAAATAATAAATTGTATGATTAAAATCATCCAAAAAATAATTTTTAATTGATATGATATTTAATATATGATAGATAAACAAGTAAAAGTTGTTAAACTTCATCTTTTTCCTATTATTTATTTTTTGTTTTTGTTAGGCTAGGGTTTTACTCATTTTTCCATCAAAATCTACATGATATGACACATTTTATCTATTTTCAAGAGAAGACCCAAATGGCATGAAAAATTAAATGGAAAACTATAGGACTGACAGAAAAAATCACCGGATTTGAACATTTTGATATTTAATTCAGTCAAATATTGTCCAATCTAATATTTCTAACATGCCATGTAAGTAGTCTCTCTCTGAATAATGTAACACTCGAGATGTTCTATTAAGAAATCATCCCTATTTCACATGATGATATAAACTTGTTTTCAACCTCACATTTTTCAATAAAATAATATTACACATAAATTCAAAACTTTTTTAACGACACGTTCTCTATCAAATCATTATTCCAAACTGCATTTTTTTTTTTTCATTTTTCTATTTTTTGTAAAAAATGGGGCTCAAACAAGCTTTCAATGTTTAGTCCCTTCACATAATGAGAGATAAAAATTTTAAAAACTTTCAATATAATTCAATGCAGAAATGCATAAATACATTCCTAAAAGAACATATTTCTTACCACTGGAGGCAAATGATTGCCTGCTTGATAAGAGCCAATTTTATTTAACTGAAGAATTTTGGCCAAAAAGAAAAAAAAAAGGAACAAAAATCAGTAATTAAAAGAAATGAACTCTTAATTAAAGGAATTACCCCTGCCCTGTCATATATCATTGCATTCACTTCACAATTCAAAACCACGGAAACAAAAATGAAACTACTAGCTTAGGTCACAAAATGGATAGTGACAATGACATATGGAGAATTCATTAAACCAACTGATATGTAATGTGCGGGCAACAAAAACACTGTCATCCATCCTCAAGGAGGGACACTTCAAAGCAGAGAAAATTGAATGCAAACTACTTAAATAGGCACCCTCCCCCTTCCCCGAAGCATCCGAGTGTCCCTGGTCAAACCTCATCGATAATTTCTAAAGCAAGTGTAAAAATCACCCTTCGTTCTGACTTTCATCTTTAACAAGCTTGATCATGTCATCTATTCGAAGAATAGTTATTGCTGCTTCAGTTGCAAACTGATGGAAAAAAAATACAAAAACATTAAATCAAGGCATTTACTACATGCTAAAAGCTCAAATTTCATGTTATAGATATGTACCTGAATTATCTTCACTTTGCTCATTGCAGGTTCAATGACTCCAGCTTCTAAATTGTTACGAACAGTACCCTTCACCAAGTCAAGACCCATGCTGCAACCGTAAGTGGAAGGCATGGTCAGAGAACGTCTTGAAAAACAATAAACTGGTTTGACATTTTTTGTAAAAAAAAGGGGGAAACAAAAATCTTATTTCATGACAATAATGTAGGTTCCTATTAAAGTCTCCCATCAAATAAATAATTTTGATAACAGGTAGGGGAGGTTCGAAGAACTAAAGCATCCTAGCTTGTTATGACCAATGCAGATCATATGCTTAGCACAAAGACATTCTTTCCTACTTAACTATAAGAAGTTGCATCTCCTAGAAGATTTTGACTACTTGATCATCAAGATAAACTGGTATTGTAAACACATATACTTTATCTTACTTGATCCCGTAATCTACTGATCACCAGGTAAATCCTCGCGAATGAAATGACAAACCCCGACACTACATATTTATGAAACCAAATGAAACTACATTTGATTAACTGCTAAAGATAATGAGAGCAGATCTTTTGAACCAATACTGTGTAGTAAAGGCTAGTGGAAATGTTAAACTACTAAATATTTCCTAAGCAAACTACAATATACTGTGAGCCAATGAACATTCTTCAAAAACAAAATAGGATAAGTACCTTGATAAATGCTTCTTATCTGCCTTGGTTTGTGCAGTGTGGTGGTAAGCACGTAGCTTAGCAACCAACTCAGTTGCATCTTTAGCAGCATTCACAGAAAGCACCTGCATAGAAATGTTCCCAAATTTGTTAAGAAATCCCAAGACGAACTATGAGAATAAGAGATTGATTTTTGAAAAAGGGTTGATTTTGTTTCATAGATGACCTTTGGTATAATTAGCAAAGATTCAGCAAACTCTGCAATAGCCAGCTGCTCCCTAGATCCAAGAGTAGTGGCTAGGTTCTCTAGATACACAGACAAGGCAGCCTCAACTGCACCTCCACCAGCAACTACCTACATTTCCATAATATTCCAAAAACAGAAACGTAAATTTTTTGTTTCTATGCAGGCCATAAAACATTAGCATTCCAATCGATAAACAAATCAACAGGATAAAATACATGAAGGCCATGCAGGTCTAATATACCTACCAAGAGATACTAAGAATCACGTAAACAAATTCAACATGTAATTGCATAATTTACTATTTTTTCCCAATCCCAAAGAATATCATCTGACATTGATTTATGATGATATTAATTACACCCTAAATGATGTAAAACAGGTACAATCCCATAATGAAATTGAAAAAACAAACAAATAAAAAAAATTGCAGGGTGTAGACGATTGGATAAGCAGATGGAAATGAATAGTGACAATTGACAACTGAGAGCAACAAAAACAAGGATATCTTCAGAATAGAATAAAGCGACCAGCACTTGCAGGGTTTACCGTATTAGATTCCAGAGTTCTTTTGACAATGCATAAAGCATCGTGCAAAGCCCTGTCCATCTCGTCGAGCATGAAGTCATTGGCACCCCTGAGTATCATTGAGACCTGAAGAAAGCACACGATTAAGACAAATCATATAATCCTCTAAAAATGTCCAAATCAAAATGAACTGTCACCATCTTGATCTTGATCATTTGTCAATGCTTCAAGTAAAAGAAATGCGATCGAGTT